AAATTTATCTGATGCACTAATTGTAAGGCTCTAGCAAGTATTATAGGATACGTAATACCACAACGATGCAAAATGATATCTTGATGGGCGTGATTCGTGGTGCAAAATAATGTCTGCGATTTGAAACAGGCAAAATTGCCCCTTCTGCAGTTTCTAGCCTTACTAAACATGATTGCTTGATTGAATGATATGCATGCATAAACCAACGAAAATAAATGTATACATAAAGAGCAGCTAATTGAACTGTTTTATGGAAGAATGGAATAACCATCAGAAGGGCAGGTAAGTGTGGTGATAAGCAAAACGGCTTTGCAGTTGTTGATGAGAATCGACTGATCCAGTTGCAGACGCGACTGTATTGGATAAATCAACTTGTCCAATACTCGAACGGATCAGATTATTATCAATGTACTCGCAAATTTATTCAAAAAATCTCAAATTTACTTACATTTTTAAATCTCGTCTTCTTCTCAACGAGATATTTGCATTCGATGATAAACTTTAAGGCAAAAATGTTTTCGTGAACGTTTTTATTATCAACTGAATGAGTGAAATTTGAATGCATTTTGTCAGAAATACGTTTTGAATTGAAATATTTTCAGATTCATCAGAATGTGTCAGCAACATTCTGAGGAATGTTTTGCAACAGAGATGAGTAATCTTATCGAATCAAGTATATTTTAGGGATCTTAACAACCTTCTAAAAATTTGCATACCAAGTTAATCTTGACCTAATTTTTGCCCAAAATACTGGGCGGATTGTCAAACAGGCAGATTCTTCAAAGCTAAAATCCATATAATCCTTTAACAATCATCGACAAGAAAGCAGAAATTTTCATTTATTCTCTTGTTGAATTCTCAGAGAGACGTTAGCGGTTCACAAATTGCACTATATCTACAAACTTATTTAATGTGCACATTGAATTAAAACATTCGATTGCACTTTTCAGAGTATTCACCTGAAAGACAACGTTTGCGAAACGATCACGCTCGTATATGCTGCATTAAAAGTGATATCTGTACTAATGAAATTCCAAAATTGCATGCACTTCCGTCAAAAATCTATTTTCTAAATGAAACTAATGAGACAGTAAACGGCCGAAAGATATTCCGTAGAGGATATCCACACGGCATTCACAAGCAATGACCAGCAATCGTTTGACTAGACGATTGAAGAGGAGCACATGAAAACACACTGTGCAAATATTCAAAATGAGGTTTTAATAAAGAAATTTCGTCAAATCTTTTCCAACAAACATGAAAACAAAAATGTTGATTAAACCAGCAACAATGCATTCGCTGAATGAACAAGCCAGTGTACTCATTGCAACAAAAAAAAACGTTTCAAGACGTTTTGCACGAAAACACAAATAGTTTTTATGCTGTCAACACGAAATTAATTAAAATTTCACAAAAAAAAAGTCATCAGAATGTTCATCTGATTGCATCAGATTTCCAGTGGTGATATAGCAGTTTTCAGTGAGAGCGTTCATATGGATAGTTTAATTTGAACGTTAGCGAACGGCAACATGCAACACTTTCTTAGTGCATGAGCACAATTGTGGATGCTGCATTCATATGATTAAAGTGATTTGCCTTTCGTTAAGCAAAACTTATTAACGACGACAAGTGAGAAAGAAGTGAAGGGTTTGTTGTATCCAGGGAAGTAAGTGCGTGTAGACGCATGAAAACTTGCACACAATAAAGCGATGCAGCTCACCAAATACGGGAGTCTTTCTTCGGCTTCACTCTTTGGTGATTCACACATTTTTTGAGGTTTTATTCTTTGACGTTGCTCGTCCTTTTCGCACTATTACGTTGCGTTGCGTTGCTAGAATCTTGCTTGCTTGAACGTAACTTCACATTAATCCATATCGAAACGATGTGAATTCAAGAATCATCTTGTATTGTTCAGTTGATCATCTCCAAACGTAATCGAACTCTCGTGCTTACGATCAGCAAAAAAATCGCCAACTGATCGTGAGCAAATGAAAAATTCAACGAATGCAACTAAGACCGACATGCTCTACAACGCCTCTTAGTTGCACATAACAGATGATGAGCTCATTGATGAACTTTCATATCATCATGAAGGAATCCATGAACGACGATATAACTGATTACAAGCCTATTGCGTTGAATGAAAGCTGTACGCAGTTGGACAAAAAAACATCGTATTCAAAGGTAACATAGCTACAATTGCGCGAGCGCTTTTCGCCATCTTTCTTCTAGCCCGCAACGATTTCTTTCAGATCAAACAAAAATTGGATCTTTATGAGGAGAATTGATCAGTGCAGACGGACGACGACCCATCGTCACAATAGCAGGCTCCATGGAGAATGTTGTGGTTTTGAGTGGCGCGTCATGTGATTTGATGAAATTTTTTCTGGCTTCATAATGCATAACAAGAGGATTTGCGAGTTTCCCTTCACTCACTGAACATACCCTTTTCATATTTGTGCTTTGTTCAATAATGGAAATCTTTATTCCTTTTCACGTTAACTTAAACATTCTGAATGAATATCATTTCATCTGAATGAGCAAACACAATGGTTGCGGATGGTGCGTTATGGAGATTTGAGAAAGAATAACGCTTTCGGGTTTTCGTGCGAATGGAATGCAATTAAATGCTATGACTTATATCGACGCAGAAGTTATTCTTTTCCTTGAAAAGACTTCTTTGTGAATCGAGAGCATAACAAAATCTTGTTAAAAAAATTGATCAACTAAGTTACACCTTTAACAGGCATGAAATGAAGTGAAAAATATGAATTCAATAAGTGATCACTGTGAGTATTTGATCACAGTTCATTTCCGAATCATTTTAAACCATCATTCAGATCTCATTTGACGATAAAACACGTCCATTAAAAATTCATCAAAATTTGGTTAGTTGAAATGAATTCATGAAAGCAGTTTGGTTGCATCGCAGTTAAAATTTTTCTCTAACTGAAGAACACTCAAAATGATGACAACTTCAACAATCAAACGTCTAGTGAATAGATTTGGTGTGACTGGCTACTGTAGCCCACGACAAAACAACAATGGACCAGAAAAGTTTTCGGCTTTGGGAAGGATGCGCAAACATTGCTTCCCTCGAGAAGTAAGCTTAAACCGTTTAAAAGAGTGGTTGAGGTCCTTACGCTTCTACGTCCCCAGCTCTCTTTCAGCCGTACGGCAGACCACCATTACCATCCATGACCACCCCCCCTCCCCTCTTCGGACAAGCTAAAAGACTATAATCCTTTCTCTCCTGCCATCTGACAACGTATTAGTTCTCAGCCACAAATCAGAATAAAGTCAGGAAACTGATCTTTTGATCGAAAAATTCTTTGGTCATATCAAAGGGGATAATTTTCTAAAATCAAATAACAGTCTAATTGAAAGTATAATCTTTCTAGACAACTACAAAAGAATTATCACAAAAAAATCAGTCAACGATAATTTTCCAAGCTTCCCTAATTGTCTCATGAGGAACCCTCCTATGAGAATTACTGACTGAAT